CACATAAGTTTTTAATTTTTTACTCTGTTTATGTGATAAAAAGATCCATTCTAAGATAATATCTTTCTTCTGCATTAATATTCCTGTAGAAGAATGTGTAGAGAGTAAAATGACCAAAATGCAATCAAGCTCTTGATCCAAATGATCCACATGTGTATCCTGTAATTTCTTTTCCACCAAAGCCAATTCTCTCTCAGCTTCAACTGATAATTCTTTTGGACTATTTAAGTCCTTGTTATCATCTAAGATTTTGAACACATTAATCAGTTCTTGATTTTTCTACTCCAATAGTGGGCCCTAGATATGAAATGCTTCCTAGCAATCTTTGAAAGTTATTAAGAGTCTGCAGTCCATCTTCCCTAATTTGAACCTTTTGAGGTCTAACTTTTTGTAAACCTATTTTATATCCTAAATAATTAATAGACTCTCCTCTGTATTTTTTTTTCAGGATCAATGTGTAATTCTCAGCAAGGCAAAATTTTCTGTACTTCCTCAAACATTCTTTCTAAAGTATCTAAATTTGAGTCAGCTAGTAAAATATTGTCCACCTAATGGTAAACTGTAGATTGAGGAAATTACTTATGTATCATTTCCAATGGCTGGCTTACAAAATATTGGCACAGGGTAGGGCTATTTAACATTCCCTGTGGGAGAACCTTCCATTGATATCTCTTAACAGACTAAAAATTAATATAAGTATGCACCACAAAGATGAATTTTTCTGTCTTTTTCTTGTAAAGGTATAGTGAAGAAACAATCTTTTAAATTGATAGCTATAAGAGGCCATTCTTTAGGTAACAGAGTAGGCAAAGCAATTCCAGACTGTGGAGAGCCCATTGCCTGAATCAGCTTATTAACAGCTTTTAGATCTGTTACTAATCTTCATTTTCCAGATTTCTTTTTAATAACAAATACAGGAGAATTCCAAGGGCCTGTTGATTCTTCAATATGCTGAGCATTTTAGCTGCTTCTATACCAGCTGTTCTAAGGCCTGTAATTTCTCTGGTGTTAAAGGCCATTGCTCAACCCATGCAGATTTGTCCGTCAAGCATTTTAATGGTAGGGCTATTGGTGCCTTTGAAAGATCAGCAGCTGTTGTGTCCTGTTCTTATACAACCTGAATAGTTGGTGACTGTTCTTTATAATACCTTCTAATAATTTTCTCAGAAACATATGTTAATTTGTGATTTGTTTCTGAGATTGGAGAAATATTTATCTGGTTAATTCATTGCTGCAACAAATCACGTCCTCATAAATTCATTGCTATATTAGCAATATAAGGCTTTAATTTTCCTCTCTGTCCTTCTGGCCCTATACATTTGACCCATCTCGCACTCTGTTTTACATAGGTAACGTTCCAGTCCCTGACAGCTGAACCTATACCTCCTGAAGAGGCCAAGATTCTGGTGCAATTATTGTTACATCTGCACCTGTGTCTACAAGACCTTCAGTAACAATGTCATTTATTTGCATTTTTAAATTTGCACTTTGTTCATTTTGCAGAGGTTTTCCAAAATGTTTGCTTTATGGTTTCTCCTGAATTTTTTGTTCTCTATTCTATAGCTGTTCTATCTTCCAGAGCAGTATGGTTTCTTACATAGGCATTAGGTTCTTTAATTGCTCTGGGAAGGAGTTTCCTCCACCAGGACAGGAAAGAACTGAATGGAATTTGACGTGGGGGCCTGCTAGAGGCTCCCCAAGGCATTTTCTGATAACAAAGGGTTACCTTGTCTGCCCCTTGTTGATCTACATTCATTAGTCCAGTGCCTGTCTTTGCTACACCTTCTGCATAGTCCAGAAGGAAGGGGCATTCTGTTTAGATTATTCTTAGAAAAAACATTGTTTCTAGGAGTGCCCTGTTTACAATACCTTTTTAGGTGACCTTGTTTACCACATTGAAACACTTGACATTTCCATTTTTCTTCAAACCTCTGGAAATCACCTCTCCTATTTAAGCATCATCATGATCATGAGATTCAGTATCAATTGTATCTCAGATCCATCCCTCCAAGGGTGCTGATCTTGTCTTTAACAGCCTAATTACCCTTTTGCATTGGGTATTAGCATTTTCAAAAGCCACAGATTCAATTATTATTTGTCTTGCTTTTGAATTTGCTATCATTCTATTCACTGAAGTCAATCTTTGTAAGAAATTAGTGAAGGTTTCTTTTGGGCCCTGTATAACTTTAGTAAATGGTTCATTTTTCTTTCCTACTTCTTGAATTTCATCCCAAGCATTCAAGGGTGCTGCATGGTCTAAAGCCAGGGTGTGATCATCATATAGAGATTGCCTTTCTACATCAGCATAATCTCCCTCTCCAAGAAGTTGGTCTTGGGAGATTTCCATACCTTTGGCCCTACTTCATTGTTCAATGATCTTAGCCTCATCTTTCCACCAGGTTCTCCATTGTAATTGAGGACCAGCCTCCAAGACTGCTGTAACCAAATGTCTCCAATCTTGAGGTATAATTCTATTACAAGTTGACCAGAGTTTCACATTTGCTTCACAAAAGCTAAATGCATGTCCTATGAGACTATAGCTTCCTTAAATCTCAAATCTAACATTTGCACAGGAATCCATTCAGCTCTTACATAGCCTTGAGGATATCTATTTGATAGTTCCTGTAAGGTTACTGGATAAATTAAGGTTGGCTGTTTGAAAGTCTTAGGCTGTTTCTCTATAACCTTATAATGCAATGCTGAGGTTGGTTCTCCTTTAAATTCCTCTATCTGAGTCTGAATATCTCTATGATCTATTTTAACACGTTTTTCTAAAACTTTTATCTTAGCACTCATATTAACCTACTTTTTTAATGATAAAACAAAAATGATCAAACAGATATTTATAATTGACATTACATAAATTCCATCTAAATTTATTTTCCTCTTATTTAATTACTCCATTTTCAGACCGTCTAGTGTATTATCAAACAGAGACCTAACTCCCTCTATTGTAATAATGTTTCCCATTTTTTTAATGTGGAAAAATATCTCACTCTTGTCTTTTTTTAAATTATTTCCCCCCTTTAAGAAATCCCAATTGACTCACCAAATCTGCTGATGATGATTCAGAAGATGGTGAAGTTAGACAGCTACTTAGTGTGGCAGGAGCCCTAGAAGGGGGTCCATTGAAAGCCCATGAGCCACCAGGAAAGGGAACCCACTGTCTGAAAACAACTGGCAGGGTAGTGACTCTGGCCAAGTATAGCTCTGGCCTGTACCAATGGCTGCAAAGCCACAGGCACGCTGCTTTTTCATGAATTCATGCGCCAAAAGTTGGACACCAGGTGTAGGATGAATCCTAATTGGTCTTTGTAGCATGAATCTTAGAAGGTCTTATTAATGAAAATAAACCTGAAGCCAGGTATTGGGGTGAATGCTGGAAGATCAAAGAAGCAGAACAAGCCACAGCTTCCTCACCTCGCCAATTCTTCAGCTGATCCTGTTTCCTTAGACTGGAAGCTTCTGAATCCTCATCCAGAATGAATCTCAGCTGAACTGCTGCTGCTAAAAGCCTAAAAGCTTAACCAGCCTTGTTCCTGTTCCTTATGCCTTATATACCTTTCTGCCATCACTTCCTGGGATTAAAGGCTGTTGTTACCACACCTGGCTGTTTCCATTGTGGCCTTGAATTCACAGAGAGCCGGATGGATCTCTGCCCCCAGAAGGCTAGGATTAAAGGTGTGAGTACCACCATTTTCTGGCCTCTGTATCTAGTGGCTGTTCTGTTCTCTGACCCCAGATAAGTTTATTAGGGTGCACAATATTTTGGGGAACACAATATCACCACATTTCCCCTTTTTGTCTAAAATTTAAAAAGTTTATAACTAATACAAGAAAAACTATATCCAATAAGTACAATAACTATATACAATATATACAAGCAATAAATACTTAAACAATATCTCGTCCATTTGCATTTGACAAACTCAGAGAAAACAATTCCATTATCTATCCTATTTTGGTAAGTCCAAAATGTACCTGATTCACTTTCTATCCTAACTTATATTACTAACAGAACTATCTTATAATGTCTTTCAAATTTATACACTTACACCTCTTTAGTGAGTTTCTTTTCTAAAAATGTCTAGTCCATTAACATTTGACAGATTCAGACAAAAAACTCCATTATATATATATTAACAATGTCCAGTCCAGTAACATTTATCTGAGTTTATCACTCAGACAAAAAATTTTTATTACTTATCCTATGTAAAACAAGTAGTTCCTTTTAAAAAGTAGATTCAATAATCTCCCTTTTTATCTTATTATATCCATATTCTCTTTTTCTTTTCATAATAGATTCAATAATCTACCTTTTGTCATTTTTATATCTTCCCCTTTTTCTTTTTAGAGTAGATTCCCATTTATCCTATTATTTCTTCACCTTTTTCCTCAGAGTAGATTCAATGATCTACCTCATATCTATATTCTCTTTTTTCTTTTTTAAACAAAAACTCTGAATCTAATCTCCTTGTTCAGCTTTTTTCCTGACCATTAACAATTAACAACTTGTAACCAACCATCATAAACAATGACAATATCCATAACTTATTAAACAACCAAAACCTCCCATCCCACATCTTGGGAATGTGGGTGTCATTTTCTTAAAATTACTTCCTGTTTTCTGGGGGTGAAGACATCTTTAGGGAATGCTGAAAAGAAATTTTTTAGGTTAATTGTTAAGTCCTGTATCATTTGTCCAGTTTCTGCATAATGGGAAAGTGCAGGGCTTGTTTCAAGTCCTTGTTTAAGTAGTCTGTCAGGCTGGATCATCTCAGCTAACCACCTCGAAATTGTCCTGAGCAGTTTGTAGTCCAAAGTTGATCTTTCTGTGGTGTTAATCAGCTTAATGGCTTTCCCATAGTCCATGTGGAATCATCTTTGTGGGGTCCCGTCATCCTTTTGAAGATTTCAAAGTTACTGTTAGACGTGGTCATGGTTCCCTGCAGACTTTTTTTTTTTTTTTTTTTTTTGTGTGTGTGTGTGTGTGTGTGTGTGTGTGTGTGTGTGTCTCCTCTGTGGGGTTTGGAGCAATCACAGTCTGATAAATGTCTGTCTCTCAGAACCATGAGTGTTCTTCCCTAGAAGAGAAAATCTTCACAGCAATTTCTCTCCACCATTTGTCTTGCCAAATTTTCCAAACTGACCTTTGCCAATGTTTTCTTGTAACACAATGGTCCTGGCAATTGTTCTCTGAACAAGCAGTAGTAAATCCTTCATCCCAGGTAGCAGCATCACCGCAGTCACCAACACGATGAGAAGAAGCCAGCAACTCAGAGCAGCAGCCACTGCCTCCATGGTCCCACTACCACCGTTTGTGGCTTGGCCCTGGCCACAGCTTCTTCTTAGCAAGCCTCCCAGGCTGGCCTCAAACTCGGGATCTTCCTGCCTCTCCCTTCTTCAGCAAATCCTACCAGAGTGCTCCACCACAACCGGCTGAGGGTAGCTTAGGTCTGAGGCCACAGGCAAGCAGCTTTTTCGTGAATTCATACCATGAACGTTGGGTGTCAGATGTAGCATGCATCTTAGAAGGTCTTATTAATGAAAATAAACCTGAAGCCAGGTATTGGGGTGAATGCTGGAAGATCAAAGAAGCAGAACAAGCCACAGCTTCCTCACCTCGACAGTTCCTCAGCTGATCCTGTTTCCTCATACTGGAAGCCTCTGCGTCTTCATCCAGAATGAATCTCAGCTGAACTGCTGCTGCTCAAAAGCCTAAAAGCTTAACCAGGCTAGTTCCTGGTCCTCACACCTTATATACCTTTCTGCTTCTTGCCATCACTTCCTGGGATTAAAGGCTGTTGTTACCACACCTGGCTGTTTCCAGTGTGGCCTTGAACTCACAGAGATCCATGCCTCCAGAAGGCTAGGATTAAAGGTGTGAGTGCTACCATTTTCTGGCCTCTGTATCTAGTGGCTGTTCTGTTCTCTGACCCCAGATAAGTTTATTAGGGTGCACAATATTTTGGGGGAACACAATATCACCACAGGTCTTAATAAAAACCTGGAGCCAGATATCAGGTTAAATGCTGAAATATCAAGAGACAAAGAAACAAGTCACAGCCACCTCTCACTTCACCAACTCCTCACCTGAAAAGACTGAGCTCCTGTCTCCTCCTGCCTTATATTCCTTTTTCTGCCCAGCCATATCACTTCCTGTCTCAACCTCACTAGTTCTAGGATTCAAGGTGTGTGTGCCTCTCAAGTACCGGGAACAAAGGCATGAGATCCCAAGTGCTGAGATTAAAGGTGTGTGCCACCACTGCCTGGCCTCTATGGGTAACTAGTGGCTGGCTTTGCCTTCTGATCTTTAGGCAAGCTTTATTTGTTAGAGCATATACAAAATATCACCAAAGAGTTTGACTTGTTCTTGTTTTTCTGAAATCTTGATATGCATCATTAAATTATTTTTTGAGATTCTCTGATTTTTAATGAAAGCACTCATAAACTTTCTTATTAGAAATGCTCTTGTTATATCAGCAAGGTTCTGTTAAGTTGTGCTTTCAGTTTTATTTGAATTTAGGAATTTCTTTGAAATTTCCATAGAATATTCAGTAGAATATTCCATGTTCTACTGAGAAGAATGTATACTCTGTTTCTTTGGATGGAATACACAGTATACATGTGTTAGGCTCATTTGAACTATGTTGACTTTTAGTTTGTATGATCTATTTGTAAGTGAGAATGGAGTGTAAAATTACTATTATTTTACAGTACCTCTGATATTTTATATTCATTAATATTTTTATGAAATTGTAAACCCCAACATTTAGTCCATGTATTTGTGATTGTTGTATATTTTTGATTGTTTTCTTTATAAATATGGTTTCTTTATCTCTTCTGACTAATTTTGGTTTGAAACCTACTTTTTTCTGATATTATAGTGGCTACAATAGCTTTTTTTCAGCTTCTATTTACTTAACAGATTGATTTCTATCTTTTCATTCTAATTCTGTATCTTTCCCAGTGAGGGATATTCTCAGAGACAATAGATAGATGGATCCTGTTTTTTAATCCAGTCACTAGACTGTATCTTTTATTGAGTTAAAATCATTTACATTTTTATTTTTGAGTTTTGATCATTTCTATGTTTGGGGGATTAGTTTTCTGGTTGCTTGAATTATTTTTTTTTTGTTATTTTCTTTCTCCCCTATTAGTATTAAAAGTTTGTTGGATTACTGTGTTGTCAAATAATCTTTTTGTACACTGTGAATATGTGTCTTTGCCAGGGCACTTTCTGATTGGTATGTATAATAAAGAGCTGAATGACCAATAGCCAGTTAGGAAGAGATTAGGCAGGACTTTCAGGCATAAAGAGACAAGAAAAAGAGATAAATCTAGGCATGGGAGAGACACCAGAGGACCTGGAGAAGAAACAGGAGGTGCAAGATGGAAAAAAGGTAAAAAGCCATTATCTATTTATCTATTATAAAAACATAGATTAATATAAATGGGTTAATTTAAGTTATAAGAGCTAGTGGGACAAGCCTAAGCTATAGGCTGAGCTTTCATAATTAATAATAAGTCTCCATGTCATTATTTGGGAGCTGGCAGTACAGAGAAAGACTTGCTACAGTACTGTGTTGGACACTGGTAGTTTGAACGTAATTGACCCCTAAAATCTCATAGGTAGTGGCACTATTAGGAGGTGTGGCTTCGTTGGAGTGGGTATGGCCTTGTTGGAGGAATTGTGCCACTGTGGGGCAGGCTTTGAGGATTCTTATGCTCAGGATACTGCCTAGTGTTTCAGTTGACTTCCTGTTGCTTACTCCAGCACATCTGCCTGCATGCTGCCATGTTCCTCATCATGATGATAATGGACTGAATCTCTCAAACTGTAAGTGAGCCACCCCAATTAAATGTTTTCTTCGTAAGAGGTGCTGTGGTCATGGTGTCTCTTCACAGCAATGAGAACCCTAACTAAGACAGACATAATGGATTCTTAGCTAGTAATTCATCTACTCCCATCATAAAATTTTTTATTTTGTACCCTTTTGATTGAGACTGTCTTTTATGCTTGAGAGTCCTTTACACACTACTGTAAGCTTGCTGGTCATAAATTGCTTTAGGTTATTCTTGTCTGACATATCTGTATCTCTATTTTAAAAGTAGATTTATGAGGAGAATCACCACAGAGGGATATGTACTTGATGCTTCCAAGTGAAGTCAATGGTCCAGTGAAGCCTTTGGCTCATTCTCAACAGATGGAGCAACTGATTTTTGTTTTTTGTTTTAGAGGCTCCTTTCAAAATAAAATGACTCCTAAGGACAACATTCTCAACTGGCCTTGATAGCCAAAAAGAAAAAAAAATGGTTAATTTTGACCATCTTCATGGCCAACCTTCTTATTAAATAAGAAACACAGAACCAATGCAAAGAAGAAAGCCAAGAGGTCAGAGCTAAGAGCTAAAACCTTACCCTTCCTCCTGCGGTGGTCCTACCTCTCCGAACCAGAGCTACCCCTGTGTTAAAGTCTTTATATAGAGTTCCTGTCTTGCCTTCTCATTGGTTGTAAACCCAACCACATGACCGCCTCCTCACAGCCTGTCTGTATAGGCCTCCAGGTTTTCCATGATTGGTATTAAGATTAAAGGCATGTGTATCCAATAATGGCTGTATCCCTGAACACACAGAGACTTACCCAGCTCTGCCTACCAAGTGCTGGAATTACAAGCGTACGCTACCACTGCCCTGCTTTCCTATGGCTTGCTAATAGCTCTGACCCCCGGGCAACTTTATTTATTAACATACAAATAACATTTTAATACAAATAAAATATCACCATATTTCCCCTTTTCTATTTTAATAAAAAGGAAAAAAAAAAGAAAAAGCTTATAATAATATAAGAAAAACTATATACAAAAGGACAATAACTATATACAATATATACAAGTAATAAATACCTAAACAATGTCTAGTCCATTTGTATTTGACAAATTCAGAGAAAATAATTTCATTATCTATCCTATTTTGGTAAGTCCAAAATGTATCCTAATTAATCTTCAACTATAACTAACTAACCTTCAACTATAACTAACTAATCTTCAACTATAACTAACTAATCTTCAACTCCCTCAGAGACCCAAGAAGGAAATAATATTAGCTAACAAAAATAAAAACAGGAAGTGCACATAAGCAACTTCCAAAAAATTTGTGAGTTGACAGAAACAGACAGCTGTCTGGACAGTCACCTGAGGTTTCTCCGCAGTGCTGGGGCATCATCTTCAGCCTATAGGCTTAGCATATCTGACAGACTCATTTGTGAAGTAGGATGTACACAAGGTCAACAGTTCAACCTCACATTGAGTGAGAGTAGTCCATGTACCAGAAACACCTGAATTCCACTAGTGTCATGTCATGTTTTAGAGGCTCCTTTCAAAATAAAATGACTCCTAAGGACAACATTCTCAACTGGCCTTGATAGCCAAAAAGAAAAAAAAATGGTTAATTTTGACCATCTTCATGGCCTTAAGCACCAAACATGAAATTATAACCAAAGATTAAAATGACTGGTAATTTTTAGCAGTTCATGAGATCACAAATCTGTATGAGATAATATTAGGCAATATTTTCTCATTGAGGATTTTCTTCTTGATAAGGAAGATGCTGCTCAGATATAGAACATTATGACCTTGGCTCAGTTCAACACTGCAGCCAAGAGAGACATACCCACTATTGTTTTAACTTAAAAGTCAAATGATGGCTAAATCTACCCTCTCTTTCCTTCTCTAGAAGCTACCTGAGAAAGATTTCACACTGATACTAGCCACTCCAACAGCTATCAAAGTGCCTGAAAACTAGTCCTGGGTTTATCACTCAAGAGTCCAGCCTTGGGGACCAAAGGAAAACCCTTGAAAAGAGTCCCGTGAACAGATGTTTTGAGCCCATCAAGAGATGCTAATGGACTTTAAATTCTGATATTTTAAAATGTTCTTTCTTTAGGCCTGTCTTGGTTCTCTGCCTAGGATTTGGAATGCTAATAACCCTGTTTTTCTCTTATAAAGGAAAACAGTTAATTGAGGCCGGCTTACAGTTCAGAGTTTTAGTCCATTATCATCATGACAGGAAGCATGATGTCATGCAGGCAGACATGGTCCTGGAGGGGTAGCTAAGAGTTTTACATATGGATCAGCAGGCAGCAGGAAGAGACAGTGAGCCACTAGGCTGTGGCTCTCCCTTTTCCTTGCAGCCTGTTGGCCACCAGTCCTTGAGGACAAGGGGCAGAAGTAATGACAGAAAGCCTTGGACAGCCTGTGAACATGACAGAGACATCTTTCTGGGAGACAGCTCGATGAATCTGCTCAGCTTTATCCCAGAGTATAGGGAATATATAGGATTGGGAACAGTAACTAAGGAATCACCTAATTTGCATTAAACAGCACACTCCTATCATAAACCTCCTAGTACAAGTCTTAGTTATCGTATGTGGAAGTATAGTCCTGTCCTAATGTTCCTAGCACAATGTCTAATTACCATATAGGCAACCGGGAGGGGGGGAAAGCTTCTGTAGAGAACTGCGTCCAAGATCACACTATAGATAAGAGGCATCTGGGCCTAGAGACAGTCTCCAAATAAGGTCAGGTAGAGAACAGGGTGCCTTCCCCCAGGGGGAGGGTGTAGTCCATGTTGCTGAGCTCAGAGAGAGCTGCCAGTCCATGATAGACTACCACCTCTGACCAGCAGGGCCTCCCAGCACTAGGCCTGGCTAGAGCTTTTGAAACCTCAGTGCACCCCCCACCCCCCAGTGGCACACTTCCTTCAACACAGCCATACCTACTCCATCAAGGTCACACTTTCTAATAGTGCCTTTTCTCATGGGCCTATAGGGGCCATTTTTGTTCAAACCACCACATTCCACTACCTGGCCTCCATAGGCTTGTAGCCATACCATAATGAAAAATGCATTTAATACAACTTCAAAAGTTCCTATAGTCTATAACACTCTCAAACTTGTTTAAAAGTGTGAAGTTCAAAGTCTCTTCTGAGATTCATGTAATCTCTTAACTGTAACCCCTGTGCAATCAAAATGAAAAAACAGATCATATACTTCCAACATATAATGGCATAGGATATATATTACTGTTTCAAAATGGAGGAAAGGAAACATAGTGAGGAAATACTGGACCAAAGCAAAACCAAAAACCAGCTGGGCAGACTCCAAACTCAGCATCTCCATGTCTGATGTCAAAATGCTCTTCAGCTATCAGACTCCTTTCAGCTTTGTTGATTGTAACACACCTCTCTCTCTCTCTCTCTCTCTCTCTCTCTCTCTCTCTCTCTCTCTCTCTCTCTCTCTGTCTTGGGCTGGTTCCACTCCCTGTTAGCAGCTTTCCTCAACCGGCATCCCATGGCTCTGGCATCTCCCACAATTCGGGGTCTCCAAGGCAATCTAGGCTTCAACTTCACAGGAATGCTAATAACTCTTCTTGCCTTTACTTTCTTATATCTCTTTACAGGCACCAGCCAAGGACTTCCTTTCCACCCTATATCTGACAGTTATTCAAATAAAACCACTGATGAACATTCAAGGTTCCTTGGAAAGACCCCAACTGCTGCACCTGACAACCCTACTCAGCTTTAAAAGGCCATGTAGATTATGACCCCAATTCCCTAATGGCAGCTAAGGTTACTTCTTCAGAGGAGAGAATGATGAGGACAGGAGATTTAAAAAAAAAAAAAAACAGGACAGACAGTTTAGGTGTAGGAGCTCCAATTCATGCCCTTGGCCATAAACTAAAATTGTCCTTGATCCCGTACTACTGGAGGCCAGAATTGCTGAAGTATTTGGGGGCTATGATCCCCTGTCTGTCTCCTAATTGATTTCAGGGTTACTTCTTTAGATGAGGAGAATGATGAGAAGAGGAGACAGAAACCTCAAAGCAGCAGTTCCAAAAATGCCCTTACTGGAGAAATGCCAGAAGAGGGTTCTAGTTCTTGTTTTTGGTTTGTTTTTTTTTAATCTCCTAAGTGAGTACTTTTGCCTAAAGGCTCTATGTGACTACATGGCTAAAGAGAGGAGGCACCTAAACACCTTGCTGGGACAACTGGACTAATCAGCTCATACCCTTCCCCATACTTAATCCTAGTTTCTGCCATCAGTCCTTTTAAAAAAGGCCCCAGCAGCTTGATAGTATCCTATCTCCTGGGACCCCTCCTCTTATGCAAGAGCCCTGTTCTCTATAAACATTCTTCCCTCCCTCTTTCCCGCCTTCTTTTACTCCTACTTATGAATCTATAATAAACTTTCCTATTTATATGAAACTCAAAAAAATATGTTTTTTCAAGATTGCAATCTTGATAGGCAATTGTTTACTTCTAAGGATTGACTATACCATTCCATGCTTTCCTGGTTTTTTAGCATTGCTGATGAGAGGTATACTATTCTAATATGCTTGCCTTGTAGATGAATAAGTGCTTTTCTTTATTTTCTATTATAGCCTTTTTTTAAAGAACAATTTTTTTTATTTTATTTTATAATTTAATTTAATTTTACATATCAGCCATGGATTACCTTGCTCTCCCCCCTCCCGCCCCCCCACCTTCCCCCCAGCCCATCCCCCCATTCCCGTATCCTCCAGGGCAAAGACTCCCCTGAGGATTCAGTTCAACCTGGTAGATTCAGTCCAGGCAGGTCCAGTCCCCTCCTCCCAGGCTGAGCCAAGTGTTCCTGTATAAGCCCCAGGTTCCAAACAAGCCAGCTCATGCAATGAGCACAGGACCCGGTCCCACTGCCTGGATGCCTCCCAAAAAGATCAAGCTAATCAACTGTCTCACTTATCCAGAGGGCCTGATCGAGTTGGGGGATCCTTAGATATTGGTTCATAGTTCATGCATTTCCGTTCGTTTGGCTATTTGTCCCTGTGTTTTTTCCAACCTTGGTCTCAACAATTCTTGCTCATACAATCCCTCCTCTTTCTTGCCAATTGGACTCCTGGAGCTCCACCTGGGGCCTGGCCGTGGATCTCTGCATCCAGTTCCCTCAGTCATTGGATGGGGTTTCTAGCATGACAATTAGGGTGTTTGGCCATCCTATCACCAGAGTAGGTCAGTTCGGGCTATCTTTCGACCATTGCTAGTAGTCTATTGTGGGGGTATCTTTGTGGATTTCTGTGGACCTCTCTAGCACTTTGCTTCTTTCTATTCTCATGTGGTCTTCATTTATCATGGTCTTTTATTCCTTGTTCTCCCTCTCTGTTCTTGATCCAGCTGGGATCTCCTGCTCCCCTAAGCTCTTTCCCTCGACCCTTGCCCTTCATTACCCCCACTCACATCCATGTTGTTCATGTAGATCTCATCCATTTCTCTGTCATTGGGTGATCCCTATGTTTTTCTTGAGGTCCTGTTTTCTAGGTAGCAGCCCTGAAGTTGTGAGTAGCAGTCTAGTCATCTTTGTTTTACATCTAGTATCCTCCTATGAGTGAGTACATACCATGTTTGTCTTTCTGAGTCTGGGTTACCTCACTCAGGATGATTTTTTTCTAGATCCATCCATTTGTCTGAAAACCTCATGATGTCATTGTTTTTCTCTGCTGAGTAGTATTCCATTGTGTATATGTACCACATTTTATTTATCCATTCTTCAGTTGAAGGGCATCTAGGTTGTTTCCAGGTTCTGGCTATTACAAACAATGCTCATATGAACATAGCTGAGCAAGTGCCCTTGTGGTATGATTGAGCATCGGCATAGGAGATCACTTCCTAAATATAACACCAGTAGCACAGACACTGAGAGAAACAATCAATCAATGGTACCTCTTGAAACTGAGAAGCTTTTGTAGAGCAAAGGATATGGTCAACAAGGCAAAGCGACAACCTACAGAATGGGAAAAGGTCTTCACCAACCCCACATCTGACAGAGGACTGATATCCAGAATATATAAAGAACTCAAGAAATTAGACATCAAAATGCCCAACAGTCCAATTAAGAAATGGGCTATAGAACTAAACAGAGAATTCTCAACAGAGGAAACTCAAATGGCTGAAAGACATTTAAGGAATTGCTCAACATCCCTAATCATCAGGGAAATGCAAATCAAAACGACTCTGAGATACCACCTTACGCCTGTCAGAATAGCTAAGATCAAAAACACTGAAGACATCTTATGCTGTAGAGGATGTGGAGCTAGGGGAACTCTCCTCTACTGCTGGTGGGAATGCAAGCTTGTACAACCACTTTGGAAATCAATATGATCAATATGGTGCTTTCTTAGAAAATTGGGAATCAATCTCCCCCAAGATCCAGCTATACCACTCTTGGGCATATACCCAAGGAATGCTCTATCATACCACAAGGGCACTTGCTCAGCTATGTTCATATTATAGCCTTTAATGTTATAGATTTGCTTTGTATTTTTGACATCTTGACTATAATATGTCATAGAAAGACCTTTCTCTGGTTATGACTATTTGGGATTCTAAATGCCTCTTATTTTTGGATGTCCCTTTCATTCTCTAGATTTGTTTTTCTATTATTTCATTGGATGGAGTTTGGATGCCTTTGGTTTTTTTATGCACATACATATATGCACATGTAAAGGTCAGAGAACAACTTGCAGGAATCTCCTACTAACATGTGTGTCCTGAGGATCAAACTCAGGTCTTCAGATTTGGCAATAAATGCCTTTACACACTGCACCATCTTACTGGCCCTACATTTAATTCTTAAAAATTGCATTTTACTTATTTTATGTGTATGTGTACATGTACATATGCCACAACATGTATGTGGAGGTCAGAAGATAACTTGAGAAAGTTGGTTCTATCCTTCCACTGTGTGGATCTTAGAGATCAAGCTCAGCTGAGTCATTTTGTCCTCCTGCCTTTAGTTTTTTGTCTAGTAAACTCTGCTAAACATTGAAGGAAAGAATATGGGGAATGAAGAGTTGGCTCAGTGCTTAAGAGCACTGGCTGCCCTATCAGAGGACCCAGGTGCAATTCCCAGAACCCATATGACAACTCACAAATGTCTGTAACTCCAATTCTAGAGGATCTGATGTTCTCTTTTGGCTTCTATAGGCACTGCATGCATATGATGCAGAGTACAGGCAATACATACCAACAAAATGCCGATACCTATACAATAAAAATAAATAAAATCTCAAAAAATTAGGAAGAAACATTGCCAATATTTTGCATAACTTTTTAAATAAAGCTAGAGAGAGAACACTTAATAATTTATTTTGTGAAATCAATATTTTGATAAAATGCCTGATAAACATGCCTCACATATCTGCATACAAGGTACACATACATACATGCAGGTAGAAGATTCATGCACATGAAGTAAAATAAATAATTATAAATTGTAGACGAATTTCTAAACAGTCTTATTAAATAAGAAATACAGAGCCATTTCTCTGATTTCTATGGCTTTCACCCCTGTATATGGCTCTGTGTTTCTTATTTAATAAGACTGTTTAGAAATTCGTCTACACTAAATTTTAAAATAAATCAAAAAATAAAATTTTAATTAAAAATGAAACAGGATAAGCCATGTATTCCTGTTTAGTATTGTACTTGAATTCCTAACTCTATTTTATATATATACATATATGTGTGTGTGTGTGTGTGTGTATATATATATATATATACATATATATATATATATATATATCATTGTACAAGAATACAAGAAGCAGAAATATGAGGCACAAAGTTTAGAAAGCAGGATATAAAGCTGTTGTTCATACATGTCATCCCTTATACAGGAAATCCTAAGAAATCTCCAAAAACAGTTACTGGAAGAAAAAGTGATTTTAGCAAGGTCAAAATACAAAAATCTGTCGTATTTTATATATACTATCAACTGCAAATTCAAATTCCTAAATGCTCTTGTAGTAGCATAAAAAACAACTTACAAATTAATTTAATAAAAGTTCTGAGGGCTCCCAAGTCCACGGTGGAAGGGCCATATCTCATGAAGGTCTTCTTGTTCTATCATCACATGGCAGAAGACATTATATATTGAAGAAATCAAGGGAAATGGAAATATGGGGCCAAAATTTCCTCTTTCCTAAGTGACCTGGTTGTGTTGGTAACTTTTCTCATTGCTATGACAAAATATCTGACAGAACAACTTTTAAAAGGAAGGATTTATTTTGGCTAATGGTTTGAGGTAGCCCATCGTGATAGGGAAGGCCTGGCAAAAATAGCAACTAATTGTAGCTTTGATATCAGGAGCAAGCAAGCAGAGAGAGATGAATTCTGGTATATATAATATATAATATATAGATGCATTCTATATATATAATTAATATATGTTAATATTTATTGGGCAAAATGAATGAATTTACAGCTGCTTAAGAGTGGATTTGGAAGGACTTATTTTTATGTTGCAGGGTGTATTTGAGTAAAAACTAAGTATTATACTGTGGGTTAGGATTTTTTCTTTGAAGAGACAGCAAATATTTTAGACTTTACAAATCACATATTAACTTAATCTGCATTCCTTTTTTGTGTTTTCAACATTTTAAAAATAGAAAATCCATCTCTCATTTATGGGGCCCATCATAGATAATACCTCTTTGCAGGAGGTGAGAAACAAGAAACAGAGAAGAAAATAAATATAGCCATATGTATATCAATAGAGGCCTTTCATTATTCTCCTCTTTGCTCTCATCCACAAAAGCTCAATAAATTTAACTTTAGTTACCAACTTCATAGCCTGTTATTTCAGAATGCTCTCAAGAAATCACTAAATTCTTTTGAGTCTCTAGCTATGAGCTTTTTATGTTATTAGTTTCATCCCATAAATCAGCATAAAATTCAGTCCCTATTATCAAACCCACATACATATATACACAAGTCCACTCAAAATTAGCATTTTGTTTTTAGTAACTTTACTACTTATTTGTCAGATCATTAAATAGGTTCACATCAAGAGCCACATAGATTTATCTTGGTTACATGGCTTTCTCCTTCTCTTCCCATACAACAAATTAAGATAACTATGCTTTTCAGATATCTGGTTTGTCTAATTGAGATTGTTTTATAATACTTATAGCTATAGTTATAATTGTAGCATTATTCCCATGGCCTCGTAAAATTATGTTATATTGTTACTCTCTCTTGTCTTCTAGGATGTGGTGCCATAAGTTGTTGCACCTACAAAGCAGGCTCCAGAATTTGATGAAGAGAGGAGACATAGGTCAAGCTCTTCATCTGTCCAACTTTAAAAGTTTATTTTCATTATCCATCCATTGGTGCCATACAGCTTCCAAGTCTGTGAATTGTACTTGGCACCAACGTGAAGATCATTTGGGTAAGAGATGTGTGAGGAAATACTATTATTTTTTTAATTATGGTAAAAATAGATAGTGTAAAATATACCATATTAATCATTTAAATACACAACTCAATACTATTAAATGTTTGTTTTGTTGTACCACAAAAAAATACTTTTTGTGTAGTTTGAACATGCTTTCAGTAGAGTTGGAATGTTATCTGGAGACTTATCTCCAAGATTATTGTAGAAATCACAAGAAAGAAAAAAACACCAGGCAACACTAAAATCCCAGCTTAGTTAGCGATAACTCTGCAGTGCTCCAGCCAAACTCCATACCCTGTATCATTCTAGGAAAAAAAGAAAGCCTCAATATTCATGGAAAAGTATTTAAAGCATGTAGACTAGGGATATTACAACCACAGAAAGTACTACAAGGTAAAGGGGTAGAGAGAGCTTTACCCCTTGTATTGATTCCTAAGGCTCCTGAAAGGATTTCAAACTGAATAGTGTCAGAACACAGTCCAAGAATGGAGTCATGTAAGGGAAATTCTGAGTGCTTGTGAGAAAACTCCAAGAAAACAAAAGTCTTGTGACCTCAGTTTGTTCAAAAGCACAGAATTGTTCTTGGAATGTGCTTTTGTGCCCCTACCAGGTGTAGTGAATAGGTGTGAGTTTATTTTAGCTGTTGTTACTCATACACCTCTATGAAAAAAAAATTTTTTTTGCCACATGTGGCTTGTCCTTGTAATTGTATACTTTGCTCAGGTGAGTCTTCTTAACCCTCAGAGTATAAATTATCTGATGTTCTGAATAAAGTTGGCTTTTGCATAAGACTTTAGAGCACCTCATTTTTAGGCCCACTCTCCCAGGTTGACATGGCTAACTAGAGCAGTAAACAGATCGAGTGAAACATGGAAATATATTTTCTCACAATTCTAAGGGTCTTTGGAAAACCACAGTATTGGAAAGGCTGCACTCCTTTCAAAGGTCTAGGAGAGAATTTCCTTTACCTAACCTATTCTGTTTTCTTTCACTTGCCAGCAATTCTTGGCTTTTTGGTTTGTTTGCTTGCTTGCTTATAAAAGCATCACTTCAATCCTTGCTCCCATCTTCACATAGTTCTGTACATTATTTTGAAGTCAGCCTCTTCTTATAAAGATGGCAATTATTATAACTTTTTAAACTTGGCTATATCTGCAATGACTATAGATGCTCCAACGATGTATTTATTCTGTCTTCTCAAGTTTCTTTTGTCAACGTTTTATAGTTTTGAATACAGAGATGCTACTTTGTTGGTTAAATTTTTTTTTTTTTTTTTTTTTTTTTTTTTTTTTTTTGGTTTTTCGAGACAGGGTTTCTCTGTGTAGCTTTGCGCCTTTCCTGGAACTCACTTGGTAGTCCAGGCTGGCCTCGAACTCACAGAGATCCGCCTGGCTCTGCCTCCCGAGTGCTGGGATTAAAGGCGTGCGCCACCACCGCCCGGCTTGTTGGTTAAATTTATTCCTAAGTATTTTATTTTATTTTGGGAGCTAATGTGAATGGAATATTTTTCTTGACGTTTTTGTAGCTAATCAACATCAGGCTAATTTTCTTGATGTTAGTAATTTGTTTTATCTTGATTAACATGGCTAAAGATTTATCAGTTTTATTTCTTTCAAGGAAGTCATTTTTGGGTTCATAGATTTTCTTGTCTCCTATTTTCAATCTGGTTCTTGCCAAATTTTGACTGTTCACTAAGTTTAATTTGCTCTTGTCCTATTTCTTAATGTTATAACTTAGGCTATTAATTTTAGACCTTCTTTTCTACTGTATGCATTTATTGCAATATATTTCCTTCTAACCACTACTTTAATGCTTTCTAAAATTTTTTGTAAATTGTATACTCATTTTCATTTAGTTCAGAGTGTTTTTATTTTACTTGAAACTGTTAAATAGTATATTTAAATGCCTATAGCTTAATTTCTAAGTGCATGAAACTTTTGTATTTTTCTGCTATTTAATTCTAGTTAATTCTATTATACTGAGAAAACATTCTGTCTTTAGATTCCTTTAACCTTTTTTGAGCTTTGTTTTATGGCTCAGAATGTGGTCTATCTTGGGGGATTTTCATGTGTACTTTAGAACAGTGTCTCTCTGTTCCACTGGTCAATTTGTCTATTTTTATAGCAGTTATATATACTGTGTTGATTACTATAGCTTTGTAATGTCTTTTGAAATTAGGTAGTATGATGTCTCTACTTTTGTTCTTTCTGGCCAAGACTGTTTTGACTATTTGGAGGTCTTAAGTTGAAATATTTCTTCTAATATCATAAACAAGACAGAAAGGTCACAGTTGCTGTTTCTATTGAATATAGGACTAGAAATCCAAACCAGGGTAATTAGATGAAAAAAAGAAATAAAGGTATGATTTTGCATATAGAAAACCATGAGGGTTCCACACAAATACTGAAATAACTAATACATTAATTAAGTAAGGCTGTAGGATATATATATATATCAGAATAAATAAAAATAAAAAAATTAAAATAAATAAATAAATAAAATAAAAACACTTTCCTTTATATATATATATATATATATATATATATATATATATATATATATATAAAATGAGCAATTAGAGGGTGCAAAACTTTCAGTGTATGTATCATAGTTCTGAGATTGAGAATCCCTGGAATAGGTTATAGGCATCCCAACTGTTATTCAAAAGTCATTCTTAAAAAACCTTAAACCATCAATGTTTATGCCCTTTGCCAATAGATATATGTGTGAACTGAGTCACATTAAATATTCACACTTACAAGTCTATCATGGTTTTTACTTTCTCCTTTTCTCATGTCTTCTTTGTGCCTGCACAATGCTTCATTTTCTTCCAGGGACAAGTAGAATACACTTGAAATTTTCCATCTTTTTTTTAGTGTGCATGCAAACTTGCAGAAGTATGCATCTTTCCAAACACAAAATGCACATTGGAGCTTTTCAAGACCCTTTATAACTACCTCATTCTCTGGTTCACCTTGTTAGATTTCTGGGTATTCTTTTAGTGTGTTTCTTGCCTCCACAAAACCCAGGGCATGGGCTTCTCTGAACTGTAGTCAGATACTTTCCTCTGTCCTGCCCCAGTCCCATAGTCCTACAGCAGCTTTTAAAATAATCACTCAGAAGCTTAATAATTACAAACTGTTTAGTCTATGGCTCAGGCTTATTGCTTGCTAGCTATTACATATTAAATTAACCCATTTCTATTCATCTATATTTTGCCATATGGCCGCAGCATTACCGGTCTGCTGGCATCTTGTTCCTTGGGCAGCTGGATGGTGTCTGCTCTGACTCCTCCCTCCTCCCTGGCTCTTTCTTTGGATTTCCCGCTTGGCTATAGCCTGTCTTGCCATAGGCCAGAGCAGCTTCTTTATTAACCAATGGTAGCAACACATATTCACAGCATACAGAAAGACCATCCCACAGCATTTCCCCTTTTCTGTCTAATCAAAAAGGAAGGTTTTCATTTTAACATAGTAAAATTATATATAAAAAAACAGTTATCAAGCAAGAATTACAGTTATAATATTTAGTCTATTTGTATTTAGCAAAATTAAAGAAAATACTCTATCATCTATCCTATATTTGTAAGTCTAAAGTTTCATGTCTAATTTACCTTTTATTGTAACCAAGGAAAACTAATTATAACTATCTTGTTTTCAACTCCATCAAAGACCCCAGAAGGATATTATCTGAGTAAACCAGAAGTGCATTGCAAGCAACTTCCAAAATTCTAGAAATGACAGAGACATCTGGCTGCCTGGACAGTCACCCAAAGTCCTCTGTAATGTTGGGGCATCCACTTTTGGCTATAGGTGTAGAATATCTGACAGACCATTTTCAGAAGCAGGATATTTTGAAAGACCGTATTGCCCTGTTTTGGCAAGGTTCAGCAGTCACTTTTCCTTGTGTCCTGATAAATGATTAATATCAAGCCTCTTAGTGATTATTATAATAATGGCAGCTGTGGGACTGAGCAGGACTGGGCAACTTTCGGCTACACTGAACTCTTTTCCAAATCAAGTTAGTTCACATTGACAGCATAGTTGCTGGTTTTCTTGGTTTGTCTACTCTTATGGAAATACTGATAATGGAGCCAGAGTAGGAATAAGGAATATCTAAAACAGACCACATGTTTCTGCTTTTACTACCTAAAGTTCAGTAGATATTTTCTTGAACAAATGTTTCTTTTTAAAGTAAATTTTATTGTGTATATTTAATGTAAGTAACATGGTATTATGAGATACATGTAGACAATAAAATGATTAGTTATTAAGCAAATTAACATTTATAAACTATTATTAACTATGCTCACATTGTACATTAAATTTATAGTCTTGATCATCCTACTCCTCTGCTACTGTGTATTTCCTATTTCTCCCCAGTTGTCTTTTTCCCAGTAACTACTTCTTTATCCTCTATCTCTGTATAGCTGAATTTTTTATTTTCCACATAATATGTGAAATCATACCACATTTTTCATTCCATACTTGACTTATTTCATTAAACATTATATCCTGTAGAGCCATCTGTTGTGGCAAATGGCAGGATTTTTTTAATTGTCTGCCTGTCTATCTATGTATCTATCTATGCATCTATGTATGTATGTATGTATGTATGTATGTATTTATGTATGTATGTATCTATCTATCTATCTACCTATCTATCTATCATTTTTAAGGCATTGTCTCACTTTGTAGTCAAAGCTAACCCAGCTCATTATGTAGCCTTGGTTGGCCTCAAACTCAAGATCCTTTTGTCTCAGCTTCCTGAGTGCCAGAATTACAGACCCATGCCTTAGAGAGTTAGCACTGAAGAAGAAGAAGAAGAAGAAGAAGAAGAAGAAGAAGAAGAAGAAGAAGAAGAAGAAGAAGAAGAAAAGAAGTGACAATTGGAGGCAATGAGGACTTAGCTAACTGTGCTGGCTAGTTTGATGTCAACTTGATATAAGCTAGAATCATCAGCGAGAAGGGAAACTCAATTGAGAAAATGTCTCC